AGTAATTTTTTAAAATAAATTTGCCCAAAGCGTTAACAATCAATTCATCAAAAAGTACTGAGCAAATAAAATACGTTCTATATTTTGCTAGCCGAAATACACAATATCTCTAATATAATAGAGGAAATGTTCTTAAATTTTTTTTTTTTTTAAATTAATGCTGTACGACAATAGTACTTAATTGACACTGCGGCCGGTAACGAACAGCGGTTCTTCAATCTTGAATTCTATTTTAGAACTATCCTATCGCTTAGATGTCTTTGTCTGAACTGAAATTACTGTATTTTCTGCAAAAATTTTGCGGTTTTTATGTACGTATATTCTCTATGGACAAGTTGTGAGATAATTCGTGGTTAGTTATCTTTTTGTCAATCTTGTTCATGCGTAAGTTCATATAAGAAAGTGCATGCGTTAATTTCCAAATGCACCCAGTGGGTTAAAGAAGGTATGGGCATAATAGGGTATTTAAATAATGTTTCCTAATTATACGTATATGTTGACCTTTAAGTTCCTTTCAATTAGAGATTAAACGCCTAGTTTTCGAGATATTATAATCAATAGAACAACAAAAGTGGGAACGACCAACCATATCCGTTGCATAGATCTTACTGGGAAATTTGGATGGGATAGTTCTTTCCAGTGTAGGGTTCCCTTTGTTTCGTTCAAGTGATCCTTCTAGGCATTCTACAATGAAAGGCCTTTTCAGTCAGCATTGCGTGGGAACCTATCCTATCAATTTCTTTGTGTTTTTACTAGAATTATATAGACGACGTAATCTCTAACAAACTGCTAAGTTTGCAACGTCGACGGTCGCTGATTCGAGTCCACCCGCGGAACATAGGCCCCACTAAATTAAGATTGAAATATGCATAGATCAAATGAATTTCATTCACAATATCGATAATAACCTCATGACTTCTTTGAATACTATTGCCTCCGAGACAAGTATCTTTATTGCGCAGTTTGTCAACATTGATGAAAGTTGAAATTATCTAGCTCGCAAGAATTCTCTGACTAAAGACAAAAAATTTTATTTATACGACGAGAAGCATATGCTTCTAATCTACAATAAGTAAAATGGTGAAATAAAGTTATTTTTAATTTCTGTCTAGCCATTACGTTAGCTAGCTGTTCGTCTTTACTTTGTTTGAACTATTCCCGGGTGATGTCCACCGCCACTACCCTAACATCTGACTGCGGATTGTGGCCACACATGAACGAAGGCTCGAGATAGTTCATCAGCTAGCAATTTTTACGAAGCTGATTTCAGGTAGACACCAGTATGTAATACGATCAAGGAAGATTTACATTTACTTACCGTACGAGTTGGACACGCGGCTTTTTTTTTTAGCTAACAACGTTGAGTTCGCATGATAATCATCGTTAATTGGTTACAAGCGTCGAAAGTTCTATTGAATCACCGTTTGAGCTAAGGCTTATGTAAACGGTTTATCGTAGTCTCCTTTTATTCATCTAATTTTTAATGCCTTATTATATAATTAGTAAAAGAGGCCTTTCTCGTAAATATTATGCATTGCATTATACAGCTCGCCGTCTGTGGTTCTAGTGGATATAGTTGTTTTTGGTCAACGTCAACTACGAAACGTACGGGTGTATAGGTAGGCAGTACAGGATGAGTTGTTCTTTGAGGACTTTTGTTCTATTGTGGCACGATCCCTTCGAATCAGGATTGTACCATAAAACTAACAAACAATTACGTATACGTGCATGTTGCACTGACCGTGACGCGGAACTTGCTACTTCTAGAGATTCACATAAATGGCTAGTGCACCAGTTACAGCGTTTGCACAACTTTAGCGAAAGCACCTTTTTGAAGTTACAACGCACTGTTCTAACTATTAGAAGGGTTCTCGTATAATATATTTCATATTTTACCAAAGTACGTATATATTATGCATATACCGGACTGTTACATACATAAGTTTGCTTCGGAACTGTCACTGGTTCAGTATAAAAGCTATTTTTCGGCCAGGCAACCTCGATCGATCATCCCCTGGCCGCTTCTAGCGGTAGCCCTCGCCCATTTTCCAAACGGGTTTTCAGTTCTCCTGCGGCAGAAGTCAGTATCTCTATCTGCAATGGACTAGGCGATATAATTTTTAACACCATTCAAATGTACAACATTCATTTCATTAGAGGATCTCCGTAGGGATCAGAAAAGATAATGATTGCGACGAACAAGGTCAGTAGTAGGAGCCGGTTGCGGCGAAGTATCCTATTTAAACTCGTACAATTTTCGATGGATCTCTAAAGAATTCTGTTCTATTTGCCACGGTTGGGCGTAATTTTCATCTGTAAACGGTCGAACTGTTCACAGCAAATACTTATCGAATCTCATAGAAGAGCATGCAATGCCATCGAATGCAGAGCACTACCTGCTTTGGATGACGTTTGGCTTCAGCTCTCTGACCGGACTCTGCCTTGCGTGATGTCATTGCAAAAGAAAATCTCTACTTTTTATCACCCGTCACCATCTGCACAAGATTCGACTTGTCCTCGTTCAGTTGCAGAGGACAGTTGGTCACCAGTTGATAATCGGCCAACCCACAAGGACACAAATTTCTATCTGCTCGATTGACATAATTTTTTTCTGCTGGCTACCTTTGGTGCCATCGATTCGGACGCTTTTGTGTTCTATGGGTTTTTGTTTTTTTTCTAGCGTGCTCACATTTCAATTGAAAGGTGCAATCGAATCGTATAAAAGCAAAAGAAGGCTAGAAGGCAATAGAACAAATGTTTCCGTCATCTATTTTAGTTTATGGCGCCAAACTTTGAACGGCTTTACAGTCCGTATATGACGACATAATATCACCATGATACTGCACAGCTACCCGAACATGAATTTAGAATTGTAGAAATAGTTAAAGTGTAACAACAAACAATCGGCGTGACCATTGAACTCGCACAGCATTTGACGTGAGGTCCTTTATTTAGTAACTTCACGCAGGTTGGGTGCATCACTATGGACGGTATCTAGACCTAAGCGTTAACGCATATGATACGAAGTGCTTTTGCAAAAACAATCGTTTCTTGTATTTCCCGCAGCTTTGTCATGCACATGTCCTGGTAAGCGCCCTTAGAATTGGCTACATCCACATACGTTTTATATATTTTAGAGTTTTTTGACGTATATATCATTACAAATTTTGTTTCACTTAATGTTTCGACATATTGAAGAAAACTTGACTATTTCTTTGATACATTTATATTTATACATATATAGTATTGTCGATATGTGCGTCACATTACGTGTGGTCATGATTATATATTAGAACTTCTTATGGGTAACTATTTACATCGAAATTAACTTTCGAAGCAAATGTTAGCCTATATAACATACCCTCTCTATATGTCGAAATTGTTGATACATAATATATAAAGGCATAGCATGAAAAAAAAGCCTAATTACGTGACTCGATCTAAGACTCGACTAAGACTCGATCAAGTGTTAACTGAGATAAATTTATGTCGTTGAAATGTTTAATGTAAACCAAACAAAGTCTGCTTTAGAGTAGCGATACAAGTTAACTACTTGGCGGCCGTTTAAGATACACGTTTTTTTGAAAGCGTTTGTATACAATGATAGAATAGATGGTTTAATCGATCTGAAATAAACCTGTGTGAAATCAAAGCAGTTGTTTAATTAATTAAAAAAAAAGACTGGGGAAGACGGATAGAAGCAGGATCATTGTTGGCCGAGGGTTATTCCCATAGTTGGCAGTTATGAATGTAGACTTACGGCTCTAATTGGTTTTATTTTTAAGTGTAGATCCCTGAAGAGTTTACTGGTTACACACAATTGCAACTATTCATATTTCAGAATCTTCGGTGTGTCCGAAAAGGTGAGATAACAGCTGCGTTCAGTGTGCCATATAGAGTTTGAATTATTTACGTTTTTTTTATTTACTTATTCTCTGATTTAGATACACTTTCTTGCGACTCGCTTTTAGATGACACTGCTATCCATGCTATGCTTTTCTTCCAGTCATTCATAGTATAACCTGACGCTCTTACGAAGATCTACTGACCTACATAAAACGAGACAGAAACAAACTCATGACTCAATATTATCAACTTTCAACATATTTCTTCATCAAACTAGTGGATTAAAGCGATAAAAGTATCCTAATTTTAAGAGAACAAAACTATTCTCCTGCTGCACAATTACCACAAATCTAATTAAATTTTTTTTTTAATAAAATTAAAAATAGCTATCAAGCTTCTGTCTCTTAAAGTCCTAATCTTTTTGGATTGACGAACATTGGCTGGGCTACCTACCCTATCCTGAGACGGCAACAAACGGTGACGCTTTGGCTCAGCAGTCAACCTGCTTCCTGTCTGGATGGATACCGTCAGCATTCGATAATCAAAAAACTGGGTTTGATATCAGAAAAATAATTCTACTCAGAGGTTGTACTGATCACAATAGCAAAATTCGTGTAGCTATGTTTACATGTGGCGATAAATAGCTCACTGGTCAGAACACAGATTTACTCAGGAAACTACTAGGCTCAGCTCAGAAATTTCGAATTCATAGAGGCGTAAATTATTATTAAAGCATAACGCATGCAGCTCCATAATAATACATAATGTGTATATATATATAATAAAACAAACACCTAACGAATAACTTCTTTTGTCCTGGAATTAGCGCTGTATTTTACATCATTGCAACTTTAAAACTTCTTGGAGCGAGCGGGGCTAGAGCCAAAGTGAGTAATTCTATAACACTGTCGAATCAGACAATTAAAACAACAGGTGCGTTCTTGCGATATCCTCGCTAGAGGAGCCGTCCTTAAATTTTCACATGATGACCGAAATTTCAAAAGTCCTGCTCAATTTTTTAGTCCAAAATTTCAACCTTGATATATTTAGATCAATAATCAATATATTGGTAAACCTCCCCAAATCTCTCTCAGTAATGCTTGGATGATCTGGCATACCTGGATCTTGACCGAGGACATTAAGCAATTAATGGGTTAATCTGAATGAGTCTCTGTAGCAAACTGTCCGAAGCTACCTGGAATAACCTACGAACGATCAGCAAAATAAATTTGTTAAAAATTTATTCTAAATAGATGCTTTTTGACGACCGGAAACCGATCGATTCTTATAAAAAAAAATAATGAAACTTGAGGCTTAGTACAAGAAATTATCACTCAGCGATTGACTTTGGATTTTCCGAACACAAAAAGGCTTTTTATATTCCGGTTATTATTATACCGCCTTGGGGGCGTCAGGCGTGGATCGCGAAGGCTATGCGAGGGAACGAACTGTGTCGACGCGCTCCATGAGTTGATGCCTCACTATTCTTGTTTAAAAGCCTTGATGACCTGTCAATAATCAAAAAGGTCATCCTTTCCATATGGGGTGATTCTTTCGACGGTTCGAATTAACAAGATTGGAAATATACGTCTAATCGACTTTAGATACTCTTTGGATGATTGTATAACCTCAAACAGTCAGTCAGCTCGAGTGTACAGTCTTCTTCATTACGCGAAACGAAAGGCTGTTACAGGTAGAAAGTACGAAACAAGTAGCTCTCCTATGTAGTGTCGTATACACAGTGCTCACATATATGATTATATTAAGAGGTTAATATTTAATAGAGGTGTATATCATTTTGCTCACGAATCACACTATATCTATCTAAATATTTTTTTTACATATTTTTTTATATGTATGTAAGCGCCTTATTTACCTCCCGCCTCCCCGTGCCGGTCGCCTTCCTTGTACTGTAGTTTTGCCTGAAGAAAAATCCAAATACAAATTAAATAGTTAAACTAATTTGATCAGCTTTAATCCTAAGGACTTAAGTGTCCGTCCTGACACCTGCGAGTTAGCTTGTCGAACGCTTCTACGTTAGTTCAATGGTATTCATATGTTCCTTCAAATAAAATCACCAAACCTGAAAGTAACAATCCATACATTTAGAACGAGCCAGACTCCTAGGGGGAATGAGATCAAACTGTAACCAACTGTGTATAGCGCTGATTTTTTTGGAACGGCAATCACATTTGGGGTGCATACATTTTGCTGGCAACGAGAGCACAGAGCCATGGAAACAATTAGCCATGCGCTATATCGATACAATATCTACCTCTTCTAAAAATAAAGAACGATCAGACTTGTGCTATAATTGACCATGGCAGTTTCAGATTGTTTGTATAGAACTTCTATTGCACATTATTAGGTGTAACCCCTGCAATGTCCAAAATGGGTTAAGGCCAAATCTCTGCGGAAGGCCAGGGGTGGACGATTTTCTTGCATGGGGCCATGCGCATGCCAGTGGCCACAATGGTTTAAACCTAATTTATAGCGTGCTTATTAATTCCAAGCTTTACAAACCTCTCCGTCAAAATAGCACGGTTTGCTCACTCAAACACCCTGAGAAGGTCAAGTCAAATGTTCTTTAAGCATTCTTGAAATTTTCCACTTCTGCGTCATCGTAGCAAACCGAATAATCATTGGCCTAGTTTTCATAAACGTCTGTCCCATGCTGATTCAGCTGTAAAGTTTAATGGATAAAAAACAATGAAAGTGTTTGCTTTACTTTACAGATACACTGTCTGGGTACCTCGTTTGATATCCATCGCGTTAAAATGAATACAATCATGCATCATTTTGTGTTCTCTGAAAATCATCGTACGGAGTGTAGCCGACTGTTTTTCTATTAACAGTGTTAATGTGATCCAGTAAAACGTCGTACTGAGCCGCGTGGACCACCGTAAGAGTGGTTCAAACGTTTAAGTGAGCCTTTTTAATCTTGCAGATTGGAGGAAACTATTCAAGGGCACAGATAGTTGACAGGAGAGTGGCGGCTGCAAGAAGGCATGATGCTTATGGGTCTTTTCTGCACGGCAATTTCAAAATCCACATCAGATGTCGAGTTATAGAATCAAATATACATAAGCTATTTTAGTTAGTACGACAAATTTCTTTTGATACGAAGCCTGTCTGGCACGTATGGCAGTCTGGCCAGACCTGAGATTTCGTAAATGATGACAACCTTGCCTCCTCCGGTAAGTATTATTAATTGCTCCTTGAGCTCCTTTTGTCCCTACAAACAAGCCTTCAAGCTATATAGAATATAATGCACTCGACCAAAATGTAAGTGTGTTATTACTACATTGTACGTGCTCGTGACAACTACATCATTGATTTATTATGGAAAATAATAAAGTGCATCAGCGTATTTGAAAAAGCTTATCTGTCGAACTTAATACGAATCCGGTACATTGCTGATGAGTGGTAGTTACCTCAGACCTTGAAAATCTTTCACAATATGTTCACACTTTGGACACATTGAATTTAATACTCAATAAATATACCATGCGTACATAAATATACCGCTGGTCACTAACAGAATCAATTTTTTATGTTACTTTTTTTCTCTGAAAAATATATTTCGTATTGGTCGGCTGTCTGTAGTTGATAAGGAATGTGTAGACGTACTTTTTAAGGAAGTAGGTTGGTAAACAATCCATGAATTGGACGAGAAAATTAACTACGTTCATATGATTATCTACAGGCTTTTAGGATTCTTAGGAACTACCTAACAATTAACAGTATGGGTGCGCACTGGCTGAGCAAACATCGCAATATTTTTTCATCTTTATATTGCCTTTGGCGCCGAGGGACAGACACAACAGTCACAATGGCAGCTTTTTACACGGAATGACGACCGGTGGTGAGAAGTGGTGGCTCTGCATCGATAAAATGTTTAAGAAAAGAATAAGTAGCTGCGAGAAGTAGGCCCAAGCACAAAGTTCCTAAGAGGATGATGATTTGCATTTAGTAGAACTGGGAGGACTTTAAACATTGGTGTCTGCCTTAGTAGGACGAGACGGTCCATAAAGGCCAGTATAAGGCTCAGCTGCGTCGAAAACACAAAGTTACCCAATAAGAAAGAGCTGGTACGCGTAGCAAAGTCAACCTTCTCCATGACTATGCCAGGCCGCTCATGGAAAGAATTGCAAAAGCCGCCCCCCTCCCTGCACAAGTTCGAGGAGGTAATTCTTTTATATACATCATATTCTCCAAACCTCGTTCCAACGGAGCGGCATCTTTCATGATCACTGGCAAAATAAAATAGGAACCGTACATTTGACAGAGAGCAGATACTGGAAACCTAACTTGGGAGATTCTTTAACACGAGACCTAAAATGTTCTGTCGAGAAAGAACAGATACATTGGTTGATAGGTGGAAAAAAGTTCCGAGGAATAAGGCTATATATAAACTGTAAGGTAAATACATAATGTTTCTATGGCATATTTGTGCTGCAACAGCTGAGCGTCCAGCAGATAAACACCCATGAAGAACCTTATGGAAAAAACCGTTGGGCACTCCCAAAAGAACTAAACTTGCCTGGCTGTTATTACGGGTGAATAAACGTTGATGTACGAATTCATGAAAAGACCTAAGCGCAAACCGTCGAGTACCGGTGGAAAACGAGCCTCAAGTGAAGAAATTTGCACAGCTCGAGCACAAAGCCAAGTTTTTTCAAGGTTTTCTTCGGCCAGCGGCATGCCGTGCACCTCCACCGTCTCTAGGGAATGCTATCAAATGGTCTCCAAAAGATTACGCAAGTCTGTTTACCTCGACAACAACAACTTGAACTTGATTCATTTGTTTTTAAATAAAGGGGTATTTTTTTATCTGCGGTTATGTAAGAGCGAGTATCGAAGCAACCGTTTTCCAGAATGCATGCCAGCATTGAATCCTAGATTAACTGAAAACGAGGAATTTCTTGTCAGAGTCTTAAGGAGTTATACAATTGTATATCATTTGACTACGACGTTTGCACTATTGTCAAAATCGATAAGAATACTTCACATGAAGTAACCAAACATGTCAAATCACCGAAGTGTCTATTGCGAAGCACCAGAGAGTTTAAAAAAATTTAGCAACCATTTTTTTTATGAGCGTGGCGTTTTAAGGAAAAATTATTGCTTGCTCTATCAGGTCAGCCATATACAGCGAAACACCTTCCAGTATGCCTTTATCCGAAAATGTTACTGCACGTAATTTAATAGAGATGTAGCTAGAAGTGGGCGTAATGTAAGTGAGGGAGTTGAAATTCAACAGCTACCGATAATATGAAATTATCCACAAAGAGTCTTTTGGCGTTAAAGGCTTCTAGTTATACCTTTCGGGCAATAACAAGAGTTGACCAATACTGTTTGTCAGACTATATACGTTAACTGTCGAGAAAAAGTGTCAGGGTTTGTTGTAAAATCCATGATATCATAACATCTACCTGGTGGATGAATATGCCTTTTCAAAGAATCTGCCCTGATTTTGAAGATGTGTGTTTTTTTTTTTTTAATTAGCTGAGTCATAATCTGCGAGTTTGTACGTTTACGGTGTACTAGTGGATAGTGGTGATTGGTCGTATAGACACATTGGTGAGCACCATCAGCAAACAAGACTCACACAGACAGCAGAAGAGCCAATTTCGTGATCAATGAAAATAATTTGATTTACAGCGCAATTTTGACGGTACGCATCATTCGGCCTTAGAACATACATATATCATACCTGGTTTCCGATGCGGAAGCAATTAGGGCAACACGGGACCATCAATGCACCTTGACCACGAAGAGCCCACTTAAATTTCAGTTTGAAGAGTTAGGTCTTGAGAGTGCTAACTCTACTTCCATCTAACGGAATAGCTGACGGCAATACCGGATCTAAAACTTGAAGCGTTTAGTTCTATTGATTGGACCTGTTGAAAAAACTCAAATAGTCTTTCACACGCTCCATGCTATTCTGTTTACATGCAATTCAGGCGGGGTCTACAATACGAAGGAGAAAGGTTATAAGCAGGGACGTATGAACACGCTGTTTTCTATGAGAACGCGTGATACCAGTCGCACTCTATAGATTATTTCGCACATGTCGACAGAATGATCCTCTGTAATGAGTCGTCGAAATATCAGATATCTGTAGGGCATTTTTTTACCGACTTCCCTCGTTTTATTTATCTATATAACTATATACGACTGTAGAATAGCGTGACAAAGCACACGTCTGTCGTGAACGTCTGTTAAAACCCTCTCGAGTTCTTTATAAAGGAACGATACTGATTTCCCTACAGAGAGCATAAAAATATATTTTTGCAGAGGTGGTGGCACGAGAAACATGGCCGACTTTGTTGTTTGTGAAAGAAAACGAAGTAAGCAAACTGAAAGACTTCATACAACATTGAAGAAGGAGAGATGTTTCTATCGGTCGTCGTCGTCGTCGTCGTACTGGCTCTCTCTGCTAGGCTGAGGGTTGGCCAAGCTTCAATCCAAACGCCGTAACTTCCAAACTGGCAAACGCAAATTTAGTATTAAACTTCTTACATACAATTGATTATAAACATATTAATCGCTAATACGAGCTAGACGAATAAATGTTATGGTCTGCGATTCTGGGCAACAGCAGCTGTGCAGCTGAACCAGTGTCAAGTGATTTCAACGCGATTGCTTTGTCCTTAACTTTGTACTCCGATGTTGCCCTGCAAACTGTGACTTACTATTGCATATGGGTGACGTGCATATAGAAGGGCAAGCTGTACATCTATCCTATCTTGCTAGAACTTTGAAACTGCAAGGTTCCGAGCTTTTAATGCCGCTTTATTGAAATAAATTGATGAGACGTCAATCTATATTTTTTATATAGTATAGAACACAGTTAACTGCATAAATTAGCTCAGAGCGAAAGTTCGCGACAGGTATTCGACGTAGCTACTGATAATAT